AACTGACAAAAAAAAACCCTTTAGGTCTTTAAGCCAATGCTTAACATCTGCATCTTCTCTGTTATAGCTGGAGAACTTAAAACTTACAAACAATTTCAGAAATTCAATTAATTTTGTCTAAGTTATCCCAAGTAGATCTTCATAATTTATTAGTGGTATAAAATACTGGAGATGAAGTCCTAAAAAGGATTTATGTGATGCGATAAAACTACAGTACAGCTAAGGGATTTTTGGTTATGTTAACTTATCCAAATGACTGATACCTACTGCTGGGAAACTTGTCTGGGGTAAAATAAAGCCAGGTAACTGGCCTGCAGTAGGAAGTGTAAGAGGGACAAATGTTGTCTGAAGACTTCAGGCAAAACTTTAAAATGTCAAATGGTTCATGAAAGCAGGAAGCTTGTTACAGAAAAAAAAATTACAGGAATTATTCTTAATGATCTAATCTTCTTTGAATTAGTTGTCAAGGAAACCAAAGGAAACATAATCTCTCATTTGATATCTTCAACTGAAAAAAGAAAAAGAAGATTCTTGGAGAACAGGATGTAAAAATCTACAACTAAGGTTAATGAGGAGAAGAAATTCCCAGTTGTCACAATTGATTATGATTAATGCCTGCTATTCAGTATCACTGCCTCGGAGGATTGGGAAGTTCCATGTGCTACTGAATAAACTCATCTGAATGCCTTAAGATTGACCAAAACTAAGGTTTGGCTTCTCAGTACTCCATTGAAAAATAGTAGATTCTATCATCCATAAGAAATATTAGGTTTTTTTCTTTTCTTCATAGAGAAAATTTTCACTCATTGGGAAACTAATGGCTCAAAAGACCCTCAAACTGGGATTACTGATATGTCCTGCATTACTGCAAGTTGTAGGTTTCCAGGTAGAATTTTTTTTTTAATATATTTTTAACTGCAGGATATATGTGACTATTAGAAGAGCTGGGAAAGGCAACTTTTAAAAATAATGATTTCTCAGTTTTATCTGTGGCACAGGTAAACTGTTTCAATTAATGTTATAGTTGTTTGTGTTGTATTCCAATGACATAAGTATATTTTAAATTTCTCTTAAATTCTCTTTTGTCAGTTTCTTTCAGACTGTCATGAGTGGTAGAACAGCCATTAAGGTTCTGTAAGGATTACTGTCCTTCAGTATTTCATCTTGAAAAGCTGAATACACTTGCTTCCTCCTGAAAGGCATTAAAAAAACAAAGCTACAACTGATGGCTTCTGGTCACCTCACAACAAAATACTGTATTGGGGTTTAGTGAAGGTCCTTTCAGCAGCACTGTCAATGTATTTTATAATTTTATTTCAGAAAAGCATCTTGACATAGGAGAAGGTAGTTGCATTTCTTTGTTTTCCTTTACTAAATCTTGTAAAAACAGTTCATTAGAAACAGTTTTGTATATAGTGAAGTGAAAAGCCCTGAGAAGTATTGAGTCCTGCTAGGAAAAGGAAAAAAGGGGAAAAGTTTGTATGGTTGAGGACTCAGATAGTATAAGACACTAATTTGTATGTTAAAATAAGCTTTTTTAGCCTTTGGTACTTCTCAAGAAAATTCCCAGAAAACCCCCTGATTTCTTTTCTTGTTCCAACTCCATTCCTGTTTCTCCTATATGTTTTTTAACTTTTAGAGGTAGTGAGCTGCTTATAACATGGCACAGATAAGTCCGTTATCTCAACAGATTTTTCATTCTTTATTGTACTGCTTCATCTTTCCCCCCATTTTTACAAAGCCATTTGATTCCTGGTTGGCTTGACTTGGTCAAGAAAATACATTTAATAAGCATGTAGAAGAGGGTGAGATAAATATGAAACATATTTCTTTCCTTTTGTCTAAGTTGTTAATTATTGGCTTAATTAAGCCTTTTGATAAGAAGAGGTGAATTCTCCAACATTGAGGGAAAATAGTTGGAGGGAGACAGTTTTAAGGTGCTGATTTGAGGTTTTTGTTGAAAAAATGCTAAGCTTGCTCATCTATAGCTTTCTTTTCCTCCCTAAGTGCATGAGAGTAAAATTCCATAGAATTCATATGAGCAAAGTTTGTTTCTTCTCTGCCTCTAGAGATGATATAACCCTTTAGACTTTACAGAATGTCCCTTTTAAGTATGGCTGAGTGTCATGTTGATCAGTCTCCTGATGCTGTACAGAAATTCCTGCTTTATCCATGGAGAATACCTGTTGATATCTCTATATATATCTATATAAATATATCAAATATGCTGTTTTCCCTCCATTGTAAGTATTGCCTCTGTATGTTGGCTGGCTGACTCAAATATTCGTTGTCTGCGCTTTTGCCCCATGGAGCTGGAATGGATGTTGAAGTACATTTCTTTACTATTATTTTGCTCACATAGGCATATGAACAAGATGGATAATCTGAAATTGCTGTTGATCCCCCAGCTATCTCACTGCAGGCAAAGAATTCCCTCTTATGCTTTCCTCAAAACACTGAAGGCCCTAACAAGAAAGGTATCTGCAGTTCAGAATTTAAAATGTCTGTGAAATCATCTGAACAGTACCTGATCAACAGGTGCTCAAACATTTCGGAGCCACTAGAGGCAACATTCTATGCATAAACAACTCATATTTATCTTCAGGGTCCAATAAAACATTAAGAAGGCAGAGGATGTCAGATATCATCTGCACTAGTGCTACTTGCATTATCCTGTTAATATATAGACAAGAAATGTGGATACTAAGTACTAGAAATGGAAAGGAAAAGCAGATTTTAAATTATTGCAAAGTCAGGAAAACAGAACTATGTAGTGCAAAACTTTGATGGAAGAGCATTTTTTTTCTCTTCTGGTGTCAAAAGGTATTTATTGTTTCTTCTTTACATAGAAACAATCTGCTATGAGTCACCTTAGTCCCCTGACAAGGATTCATTGGAGAAAATACAGTATTAACCTTTTCCTTAATATTTGACAAGAGCAGTTGGAAAATATTAGCTAGTAAATGCCACACAAATAACTCAACTCTGTGTAGAAGAAACACCTTCTTCAACCTGGGGATGTTTACTTCAAAAGTAGCCATTGTTCTGCCTGCAAGACTAACAAGTCAGATCAGATGTGTCCATGTTTTAGTCATATTGAAACTTTTCCTCTGGAATATATATGAATTTCCTAACTTAAAAAAACCAAACAACGAAAAAAAAAAAAAAAACCAACAACAACAACAACAACAAAAAAAAAAACACCAAAAACCCCCCCAAAAAAAAAAAAAACCCCAAAAAAAAAAAAAACCAAACCACCAAGCCAACCAAAAAAAAAAAAAAACCAAAAAAAAACAAAACAAAAAAAAAAACACAAAAAAAAAAAAAACCTACAAACAAACCAACCAAATAACAAGCTGGCCTTAATTTAGTCCTTCCTTTATACCAACCAGATAATTTATTGTAACCATTGAATTCAGGATGTGGTAAAGCTTTCACATGGCTGCATAGCTCTCAGGAAAAAGTAAGCCCTAACAGAAATGCTGGAGATTCAGATTAGCAAATGGCCTCTTTTAATCCCAGAATATCCACATCGACCAGGTGGAAGTAAAATGAAATAAAAGGGGTATGGCCAGTGTCCAACAGGAAGTGGCTAACAGAGTGACAAGCTGAGTGGTCACAGACTTAGCAATATTCTTTGGAAACACAAATTCACAGTATTTAACATACTTGCCACTGGTAAATGAATTAATGAAAAACAAAATAAAATCAGGAAATTGATTTTCAAAACAGTCAAGATAAAGAAAATTCTGAGCAAAGCAGCTCTTTGCTTCCCCCATAATCAGTATAGTGCTTCCCTCTCAAAGCCAGAAATAAGGAAAGTCCCTTCATCTCTTTGACTAGAGACCAAAGTTGTAACTTGGTGTTACCTTTCCTGTGCACGTGACATCAGGTAAGGAAAAATCATATTCACTGCATATCACTGAATTAAGGAAAAATTTAAAATTCAAGACCATTTTATTTCATGCAAACTATGTAATAAACACTTCTGGTTTTGATGTTTTATGGTGGAAAATAATTTATTTCTTTTTTGTGATATTTCTACCAGTGATTAATGCTGATATCAATGTGCTTATGAATTTACCAACCTTTTTGTCTACAAGTCCCCCAGAAGATGACATCCCACATGCTCACATTTATGTTCTTCCTCTTGCAGTTTACTGGAGATTCATCTCCTCAGAGTGCTAAAGACTGATTGTTGGGAGCATCCCAACAATAAAAGAGAAGCAGACAGTGTGTTTGTTGCCATAATGAGATTGAAACTTCCTTCCCGGTAAGTGGACAGCTGAATGACTCAGCCATTTATCAGTTGAAGATAGAGAAATGGAGGTGCCTGGAGAAAATAATTACTTATTATGGATGGCAGCCAGTATGACATGAATATGAATCATGAGGAAAGCAGTTATTTTAGAAAGAGTCCAAAGGAGACTGGACAACATTACAGAAATACAAGAGGACAGGTGACTACACTGAGTCTTAGAAATATAGTTATGATTTCCAATAATTGGTCAAAAGTGATGCGTGTCTTCAAAGTTCTTTCCCAAAAGGAGACTAAAGTTACAAACCCTACTTCACAGGCAAGATTTCTATCTAATTCATAGATTTATTTTTTTTTAAGAGTGCAAGAGACTTGGTCAGCTCCTTTATTCCGAGAATTAAATTAACACTGCTTTGGTTGACATCTCAATTGAAATCTTTGGTAATCAATAAAGAAGTTGTAGTCATTACATTAATGAATAAAGTCATGTTAGAGGTAACAAATGAAGGAACAGAACATGTTGTTGGCTAAGTGAACCAAGCACCAGCTTTACCTTCTGTGAGAAGACTGGAGATAATTTTTAATGCCCATATGCTAGCATTGTACAAAAGGGGGACAAGGCAAAGAAGAGTCTTCACATAAATATTCTAATTTTTGACTTTGAGTTCTTGGGTAGAAGAAGTAATTGGGTTTACCTGAAAACCACAATGGAAACAGATATATTAAGAGAGAGCCAATAGGATTGTGATTTTTTTCAGGTTTATTTTTGGTGATAATCTAATTTATTTGACAGTGTTCCTGCAAGAATCTTGTTTCCCAGCTTATTTCTTTTGGTCAGTGTTTGCAATCCCTTTGTATAACCTTTTCAAAATTTTTTACAAATTCTGTAAAATTTTTTTCTTCGTATTCTTCACATTCTTTGCATTTTTCTGATTTTGTGGAAGCCAACTGAAAAAAAAAAAAAGCAATAGTAAAGTAGGATACTGATCCGTTCATTCTGATAGGGAATTAGGTTTTTTGCCCTGTTTTGGGGAATAATTCCACTGCAGGTAATGGCAATGGAATATATAAGTGGAGGCTTCCATGGTGTGTGCAGTTCCTGGCTTTTTGAATAAGACTGTCTTTGAGAGGTACATCATTTCAGTGAAAGATGCAAATTATTGTCCCTCTGAAAGTTAAGACACTTTTCTGCATGTGTCTAACTTATCAGACTGCAGGTACTGAAGCTGCAAACTGTCATTTACACACACACATTCAAACATCCTGAAATATGTAAGCATGCAGAAAAGTATTTGCTTTGATGGGAATTCTAAATGTGTTTTTCTAAAAACCAGTGATTTTTCATTACTACGAGTACAGGTAACTGGAAGCTCATTAGTTTTCATCCTACCATTTATGTAACAAAGAGGTATTTCTGCTACAGAAGTCATATTTTTAATTTGTCTTTTTTCCACACACCATTGGTGTTGCTTACCTTATTTTTTTCAAAGCTTTCATTTCCATTTTTCCATATGTTCCACACATCCTGTGTTTTGCTACAATTTTTGATACGACATTCTTGAATTATCACTTCTGTCTCTAAGAAAAAGCACCTCATGACAAGTTCTTGGCATTCTTCCTGAAAAAAAAATACAGTTGCAATAGTTTTATGACTAAAAAGGAATAAGCAAATGTAGGACATAATTTATTATATAATTTAAATACAGGTATGATATAAGTGAGATGTAATCTAAGATAAAATCAGCTACAAAGAGGCTGATTTTTACTTACTGGGTATCTTTTTTTACTATTCAAATACATTTGAATATCTGCAGAGAAGGGCTGTGAGAGCTAAGAACAAAAAGACCAAGCAGTTTGCTAAGATGGGGTGAAACATAGTGTCTTAGTGAAGAACATATAACTAAACATTGTGGAATTTATTTAATGTTATTCTAATAGTTTTAACACTTTAACTTAGAGACCTGAATTCAGAATGGGTAAGAGAGTAGAGGAAGGAGGTAATGCTCCCTTAAATGAAAAATGAAATGAAAAATGAAAAATTAATCCCAGAATTATTTTAGCATTGTTCGCCTTGAAAAAATTATTTTGAATCACATAATCACAGAATAGTTTGGTTTGGAAGGGACCTTAAAGGTCCTGTACTTCCAACCTCTCTGCTGTGCACAGGGACTCCTTTCTGTAGGCGAGGATGCTCAAAGCCCCACCCAACATGGCCTTGATCATCCCTTTCAATTGATTAATTTTAGCAGCAGATGACTAAATAAGGATAATTAATACCTGCTTCCATAATTTATCATAAACACATTGATTAGAATAACTATTTATTCCAAGGCAAATTATTTGATTTTAGATACTTTTATCAAATTAGAACAAGTCTACTTTAGGGGGTAATTTCTAGTAAGGCTATGAAGCCACCACATCAAACATTAGTTGTGGTCATATGTGAAGTTTACTTACATCCTCATCTGCATTTGCAGTGTATAAACTGACATCAATATCCTACAAGAAAACAAGAGTTGGAATTATAAACATTAGCTAACAAACACCATCCCTCTCCCTCTCACTAACATTACTTAGCTGAGTGCAGTGCTAAATATTTTATTAAGTCTTCTTCTATGATTGCTGACTGTTTTATGAACTTACTTTGGATGTCTTGATCCTTTCCAAATCTTCCAGAACTTGTTACTTAGCTGAGTGCAGTGCTAAGTATTTTATTAAGTCTTCTTCTATGATTATATGAAATGCTGACTGTTTTATGAACTTACTTTGGATGTCTTGATCCTTTCCAAATCTTCCAGAACTTCTGCCCACTTGCAATGACCGGCTTCTGTCTTTGGTACATAAGCACTAGAACAGAAGAGACACAGTGCCCATTACGCTAAATGGGAGGTATCTGCAACATTTATGCTGAAAAAAAGGACTCAGCATTGTAAGATATTGCAGATACAGTGTTTACATGTAAATACATATAGTAAATGTTTGGGGCAAGCAAGCATATTTGACAAATCATAAAATCACATAGATACATAAAAACTGCATCTCATGTCACATGCAGTATAAACAATGAGGGTTTTTTAGAAGGCCAGTATTAGAGAATATAATGCAAGAGAAAGGTTCAATTACCTAATGTAAAATACCTAAAATTCTTTTAAAGCGTAAAAGAGTGTCTCCACTCTCAGAAGTGACTGAAGACAAGTAACAGCTGTGATACTAAAAAATAAATAATTTGTAATTACTGTCTGATTGACATTAACTTACCATAGGAAGAAGATGATTAGTCCCATCCCATTCTTTAAAAGGCAAAAGCAATGGCTGTTCAGAAGCAGATACCTCAGACAAATACTTTTCAGGTGTGTTTTCTGAAAGACACAGCCAAGGTGATACCTTGTCACAATTTGATTCCACAGAATTTTGCTTTAGTACTGACTTAATTAACCAATTTTCCAAGACTTCCAATAAAGACAGCCCTGTTGTGTGTAGCTGGAAAGACCAACTGATTTGTAGCTTGGAGAAATACATAATCACTTTACCAAACAGCTGGTAGAAAATCAGATGCTGAAGGCACACTGTGAAAACCTGAACTCATCCTGGGCTCCCTATTTATTTATCAATTCATACTACAGGCTGCAATTGAATGCAGAGTCAATATTAAAGAACTTTTGTTTTCCACCTCTCCCTTGGCTACAATTTTTTATCCAAATTCAATTAATTGCCTACAACTTTAACTCCAATACTGTGGTTGCATATATGTGAGACTCTATATCAAATGCATAAAACACTATAGTTATGTGTACAAATGTTAAATAAAATATTTAGATATAGTATATACTTACATTTCTTTACACAGTGTATGTGTGTCTAATAGTGGGCAATGATGCATTTAAGAATTTCCTCAGTGGAGTTTAACAACTGGAAATAAGGAGAAGCTGTGAGAAGCTGTGTGTTGTCCATCAGGAAACATTTTCCTGTGCACAGCCTGGTAACCTTTGTTCCAAAGTCACAAACCCTTTGATTTAGCTGATGATGTGCCCTCACTGGCTCAGGTTAATTATCTGCTGCAGTGCAATGGTTTTGACCCAAGGGTTTGTTCCTTATCCAACATGCAATACTCTATAACTGACTCAAATGACATTTCTTTACCTGCAAACTTGCAAGTAAATATTTAAAAATGGACCAGAGAAGGGATGAAAATATCCAAATGGGAGGTCAGTCCATGCACCGTCAGGATTGCAGCTTACTTGCTTAAAGCCACCTTAATAAAGCAGAGCCAGGAGAGTAATGACCACACGTGTGATAGGATTTCCGGAAAGTATTTGTAACAAATATTTGCTACTCTCTTAAATAGAAAATGCTTTATATACATTGCAATCATTTTGTTTCCAATCCCCAAAGATAGAGCTGAAATAGCATAGTTACCTAATCCTACATAAATTTCCACGTTCAATAATGGGACACAGTGTCAGTCCCTTTTATCCTCTTTGTCCAAAACCTGTTAAATAAAAGCTATGTGAGTGAATGATACTGTGACAATCTAAATTGCAGTAAGGACAGAGCAGGTAACATCTCTTACATCTTCTGAACAATTTCCATATGGAACATGGTGTGTTATCATCAGCCAAAGTAAGTCTACAAGCAAGGCTAAACCTGTCACTGCTTCCACAACAAATGGAAATTGAAAATATGCTTACTAAACTCAAAATACAAAGTACTTGTACATGTATGGTTTTCAAATATACAGATAAAAAAGGAAAAGAATTATTAGCTGCATAAATATGGTGAAAAAAGCTAAATAATTTTGCTATAATATAACAGAAAGGCTTTATCCTTTTCACAGCTAACATTGATTTGAAATTGCCATGTTATTTCTTTTGGGTTTGGATTTTGTTCGTTTGCTTTTGTTAAATCTGCATACTAACTTCTTTCATTTGATATGCTAATCCTTAGAAAATATCCTATTTTGGTTGGGTTTGGGGTATTTTTTAGCATTATTATTATCTAAGTGAAGTCAGAAGTAGCCTTGTGGGGAAACTTCAAGTGTATTTAAAGAAATTTTAAACCTGATTGGTGAATACAGCTGAAGAAAGCATGTTTTAATCCCAAGTTTTAAGAAAATAATTTAAAGTATACTAGAAATATTTTACAATAGCTAAACATTTTTATCATTCTACAAGCTAGATTTTATTAAATGAGATGAGGTGGCAACAAATTAAAATATGAAAGACTTATGATGGGTCCATAAGCACAAACCAGCTTTGTAATTATAATAGCTTTATAATTTATAATTAGTGTTATGGGGTCTTAAAAAATTGATTTGAGAGGGAGGCCCAGACCAAATGAATTGTAAAATTTATGCTGCAGAACAAAGTTTTCATGTGAGGAAATAATACATTATGATATCTAGTGAATAATGGACCAGGGTTACCATTAGTTTGTCATTTGTTTCTTATTTTAAATAATTGTTCACTGTAATGACACTGGAACACTGTGTTCTTAATGACTGAATGTCTGCATCTTTGGTTTTCTTAAATATTGTAGGTAACCTTTATTGTAATAATTGCTGGTGTGAAATAAATGCTTAGTTTTTAGAAGTAATAGAAATCTTGTACTGATGATAAATATGTGAAAAATATACTACATGCATATTCTAAAGAGTACTCCATTTCTTCATGGAGAGGTTTCAATGTCAGCTACATCCCCCAACACACTCCTGTGCAGGCCTAATGCAGGGCCATTTTCTATTTGAATTTCTTAATTCTTTCATCCAAACTATTATTCAACAACAGAAGCATTGCTAGCCGGATTAGAAGCTTTTCCAAATCATTCTCCTGCCTTGAACACATAATATTGTAATGTCAAAATTTTCTTTGGATAATGTCTGGTTTTGATTTCTTACTCTGTGTAATCATTAACTAATTAATCTCTGTCTTCATTACATCTCTGGTAGCTTGTACCTTGTGTCCTGATTACTTGTTACTCTAAAGATCAAAGCCCTTGGAAGTGAATATATGCTCTTCCAAAAATAAATTATGATATACACAATGTTTGGGCAAGAAATGCTATTTTTTAATAATTAACTTAAATTAAGCATTTTAAGAGCAGTTACCTCTGAGTGATATCTAAGGTACAGTTGTATTGTTTTCTCTTTAAAGAAGCAAATCTGCAAGCAAATGAAAAAACCTTTCTTTAACAAAGCAGAAACAGCCAATGATTTTGCTGGTTTGGCTGTCACAGAAACAATAATCTAAGTTGCTCAAAAGAAAATATTCGTGGCTTTTGACAGTATTTAAGTTACATGTGATGGAAAATACAAACAGTTAAAATTACATGTTTCTGCCTATGTTTAGACCGTATATCTAAACTTCTTTATTAATATTTGCTTATAAATGTCTCCTTGAATCCTTGAGATAAGATATTCATAAATAAGAAAGTATATTTCCAGGCTATGCCATTTGGTTCTATTGGCAAAGGTCTTCTCTTTTTTCTCCTTATTTTGAACTGTATTTTTGTTCTTTATTTATATCTTTATTCCTCATCTGCTTCCTTGTTCTTGAAAACAAGTGACCAGAAGCATACAATGTACTCAGATCTTATGAGGGATTTAGAAACTGGTGATACCATTTTCAGTTTCTATGGGAAAAAGAGAACTACTGCCAGTGTTTTCTTCATGACTGGTGGCTCAGACCTCAGTATGTTTCCCTGCCAGAACTTTATGTCCACTTCTTTCAAAATCCTGGAATGTCCTGAGAGTCTTTCACCATTTGCAGAAAACTCTTACCCTATAAAACCCCTAGAGTCCTGAAGTCTAACCTTCTTAATTTTTGATTATTCTCAAATTTTCTGTAACTTCTTGACTTCAAGCATACAGACTTTTTCCTTGATTGGCCCCCTTTCCTGGTTCCCATGAGAAACCAGCATACAGCTTTTTTCCTTGATTGGCCCCCTTTCCTGGTTCCCATGAACAAACCAGCCTTCTCAAACACCTCTCTCTCATAACAATCTATTTTCCCATTTCTCATCTTCATTCTGTAGTGCAATAGACTTCTTGCACATTATTTAGTATTATTATTTTAGTTGGTCTCTTCTTCTCCCCTGTTCTAAAAATATGTGTCCTCAGCATTTTCTCTCTGGCTTCCTGTGTAGCAAAGTACTTTAAATCTTCTTTTCTCTGTTACTGCTGCAAATTTCCCTCTAAAATCTTACCATCACCTCCAGCTCTCTCCAGTCCTTTGGCATTTTATTAAGAAACATCTCATGCATAAAGTAGGGGTCTTTTTAGATCTGTATTCAAGTGCTGTCTACATCATGTAGAGCTGAGTTTTACACCCACTCATTTGCATTGCTGCAGCAATTCTTTGGTGTTTCTTTTCCCACAATAATTAGAGCCTCCTTTAGTGAACTCTGCCTCCTCCCCCAACAAAATCTCACCCCATGGCTCTTGCTCTGCTATCCTCTGCTTGTTGGCTCCACTAATTAATTGTTCTGTCCTCTTGCTCTAGTGCAATTACCTTCAAGGGGACAAACTACCAAGTAACTGCACAACTAGAGTGCTGCATCTATTCAAGGTTTTGTATTGTGCGTAATATTGGAGCTCCTTCTCTGCTCAGAAGCATACAGAATGTCAGAGTCCATAAGACTGAGAAGAAAATCAACTTTTTTCCCTAGTCTTGTACCAAAAGAACATTCTTTTCTAATTTTTTTTTTTTTCCGGGGGTGGAGCTATGGAGAGTAAAGATTTCATAAACTGTGACTGGAAGTGGAATGGAGCCCATAAATAAAGTAGTACTTCTGAACTAGATAGATGTTTCTATATTGAGCCCTCAAATAAGTAATTTTGAAATAAAATTTTCATGGATTATGAGTATGTTTTAGAGAAAAGACATGTTCCTTTTGTCTTGTCATAGAGTAAATGCTGAAAGTCAAAGAAGCAGTTTCACTGAAGAATCCCTCTGCTCCTTCATCCCTAAGTTCCTTTAGGCTTCATATAGGAAACAACCAAAGGGAAAGCAAGAAAAAAAGCCCTGAATTTGAATTAGTGTCAGAATGTAATTATTCAAATTTATAAACACAGAGAACCACATTGCTCTTCTCTGAGACAATAAGAAACTCTGTCGCAGCTGCTACCTGTATGTACAGCCCTCAAAACCACTGCCAAAAAAACTTATTTTACATCTCTGGTAACTTCTGAATACCATTTGATGCTGCAACTATTAAAGAGTTGCTTCCACACTATCATGGTGCCTGAATCCATTGTAGTTCCTCTTCTCCCTTCCTATCAGTCTTTGCACCGAGGCCTTGGAAATCTGCCCTCAAGCTCCACCAGGTGTTATCAGCAGCTCTCCTCCTCTAAGTTTTAATGTAA